CACCTTCCCAAAGGGCTTCCTTAGGCTCGCCATCTGCACCTGAGACTGGGTGCAAGGTGCAGCTGTTCCTGGGGTACCTGGCCTGGCTGTCCCGAGGGGCTAGTTAGTTAACTCATCTTCATAGGAGGGAGGACTCTGCTTCCTCTGGACCCTTTAGCCTAGGAGGCAAGGAAGCCAAGCAAGGTCAGGGGAGAGAGTGGACTGCCTGAGTGGACTTAGCCACAGCTCCGGGCAGTCTTTTTGGCCTCAGTTTCTCTCTGCTTCCCTCTGCCCTCCTTCCTTCCACTCAGTGTCTGTGGGATAATGAGTTGCTCCTGGAGGCGGGTGCTAATTATTGTTTTTGCAGGGCTGGTGGGTGCTTAGATGAAAGAGACTGGAGCCAGGCCCCTGGGTCTGTGCCACAGCTCGGGGGGCCCCAGGCCATGCCAGGGAGCCCCGAGGGCCCTAGGTGTGGGGTTTTATAGCCATAATGATGGTGATTAGCTTGGTTCTTAATTGATTCTGCCAACACCTAACTGTGCCCTGGCCCCCTTTCCACCCAGTCTTTCCTGGGGCAGTCTATGCCTCTCGCTCCCTGAAAATGGAGGCAGGATGGAGGACGGGGGGGGGGGGGGAGAGTGAGGCTGGGGCCGGTGAGGGCTGTACCCTGGTTAGCTGATTGCCCTTTCTAGGACCTTCTTAGAAGGGACACTGATGGAGGGGCGTTAGGAATCTGACCTCTCTGGCTTTGGGCTGTGCATGTCCACTGTTCACTGTGGGTGTCCCTTCTCGAGGCTCAACTCTAAGGGTCTAGGGCATCTTCAGCTAGGAGGAGGGCAGGAGGCTAGAAGGACAGAATCTACACCCGAAGCCCACTGCATCTGATTTTCCCTATCCTCTTCCTTCTACTCCTTCTATTCCTCCCCTCCCTCCCCCTCCCTCCCCTATTCCTGCGGCCTCGGGTGCACCTGGGTAGCCTTCAAACGCAGGCCCTTGCACTGATGCCCACTGATGCCCACTGATGCCCACTGTGGCCTGCCGGGAGCTTCTCTTAGTGCGGTCTCTCAGCTCCTCCACTTTGGGGCCTGGTCTTGTCTGGGGCTGGCATCGGACCCCGATGTGACCAGAAGCTGAGATGCCAAAAAGGCTGAGGAGGGAGTAGGGTGAAGGTAGGAGGTTTTGGGACCTGGAGGCTTTTCTCCTCAATGTCTGTCCCTTCCAGAAGGGGAGGTCAGGACCCAAAGGAAGCCTAGAAGCACTCTCCCAAAATAGCTCTCTTGACTACCCTAACAAGATGGGGAGGAGGCAGGGGAGCCCAGCCCAGCAGCTCTCTCTTCTCTGGCCTCCCTCTCATTCCTCTCCAAGGCAGCCCAGCCAGTGGTTTGTTTAAACCAAACAATAGCAACCTAGGTTGGCTGTTTCTTTTTAATCCCCCCCCCCCCCCCGTGGGCTTGGGTCCCACCCAGAGCAGTAACGAGGCTCCTCTCCTCCAGTGAGGGCAGGGAAGCAGGGAGGGTGGGGGCTGAGACAATGTGATATGGGTCAGGGAGGTGCTGTTGTGGAATCAGAGCTGGGCCCATGTGGAAAGTCTGACTTGAAGCCTTGCTCAGACCTTGGGACTATCTTCTCTCTCGCTAGGGCTGCTTAGTAAAGACTGGATGCAAACCCCTGGGTTAGGCTTCCAGAATCGGGCCGTCTGTCCTTCCTATCTGCCTCCCTTGCTACCTCTCTGCACCTGTGTTCCACTTGGGTGCTCGGGACATTTAGCTACTCCGGGTGGCCTAAGCTGATCCTACAGATGGATGCCACTCTTGCTGGCAGGAAGGGCAGAACGTGATGGCAGTGGATCCATATGCAGTAACTGGACAGAGTAGCTGTGACTTAACTTGGGTTGGGTGAGGGTAGCTAAGTGTCCTTTGGCTATAATCTCTCCTCAGGTTGGTCCTGGAGGGGCTGAAATTCCTACTATGGGATCAACATCAGTAAAGAAGCCACACTCTAAAAGCTGAGAAAACTGGAGGCCCAGAGAGGCTAAACAAACTGTTGTCCCAAGGCATTTGAGTAATGAGTGGGAGAGCTCCAGAATGTTCAGGAAGTGAGGGACCCTGGGACTCCCGAGGCTGACTGATCCATGGCTCAGGCCTTTTAACCCATATTACTGCCCTGTGCCTTTTTCAGGACACCTTTGACACCCCCATTGCTCCACGGGTAAGCATTGTTTTCGGTTATCCATTATTAAATACACAGGCATTGGATGAGGGTGTGGCTCAGTAGAATGGGGTGTTTAGCATGTGTGGAGTGTTGGGCTTACCCAAACCAAACCAAATAGTATCTGGAGGCCTGTGGCAACAATGGAAATCCCAGCCTAAAATATCTTGGTAGAAAACTACATCCAGCTTGGAAAGCTGGGGCACTGGAGGATGGTCAGGACTCAGTAGCAGAATATGAGAGGGATGTTGAGAAATGCCTGCTCGGCCCTAGTGGCTGGGCCAAGGAGGGACCCAGATGGGGGTGGGTAGGGACCTGGTGTCTGTCGGAGGGGTACAAACACCACACTTGCACTTTTGAAGGAGAACCCGCAAGAGACCAGGGACCACTGAGAGCCCCCAACACCCTTAGCTTTCTCCGCGGCCCCCGACCTGCTGTCTCCACCTGCTCTGGTGGTAGTGGTGGTGGTAGTGGTGGTGTGTGTGTGCGAGCATGCACACATGCCTGCCTATCTGTCTCTCCCACTGTTTACTCATGTTCTGATTCTCCAGAGCACTATTCTGTTGTCTGATCTCAGCACACTCCCTGCATGGGAAGATGGAGAGCGGTAGACCATGCAACTAGACAGAAGCAGAGGGGTTCCAGGGTCTCCAGGGCAGGGGCTGTAGCCCACCATCCTTGTTCCCCTGGGATGTCTTGCACACAGTGGGCAGGGGTGTTGCTCTTCTTCCCTTTGCTACCCCGGTCAGTCCTGCTTCTCATCTATACTCTCTGTTTCCTCTCCTTATGGGGACACTCGTGCACTGCTCTACCCGAGGCCTCTCACTTCCCCCGCTCAGAAGCCCACACCAGATAAAGGCTCAGGCTCTTGATTTGCTTCATGAATCTCTGGCGGGTGTGGAAGGGGCCTAACTGTTGCTGGTCTCAGCAGAGTTGCTGGTGCTCCGGCCTCATTCTGCTGCAATTACCTACAGGCCGCTAGCCACCCACGGGGGTGGGGGCGGGGGCTGCAGGGTGGAGGGGTGGGGGGTGGTTCAAAGCTCCAGGTCCTGGGGCCACCTGACCTCCAGGTAGAGGATCACGGAACATTTCCTCTTGCACTCAGGAGACGATTTAATCTCTTCACCCACCTCTTCCCATTTACGCGGAGGACGCAATCACTTCTGCCTGACTAGGGATTCCCTCTGGCAGAGGGGGAAGTCTCGCCTTTTGATTTCAGGGAGAGTGGAGGGCATCAAAAAAGAGCCCCAAATTGGAAAGGAGGCAAGGCGCAGAGAGATAAGGGAGAGTGGGAGGAGAAGTGAGCAACAGACAGTCCTTGGGTAGAAAACAAAGAAAGCAGCCCCCCTCAAACAAAACAACAACAACAACAACAACAACAACAACAGGAAACTGGAAACGGAATCCAGACTCCCCGACCCTGGCACCGAATGAGAAAGCTCCTTGCTGTTTCGCACAGCTGCCTGCAAGCTGCCAAGTGGCAAAGGAAGCCAGGAAAGGCACAACACTGGAAAGTGCTACCCAGCAATCTGTGTATTCTGCAATTAACATGGGCTAAGCGAGGGGAAGGCATTGACAGCTCCCGGGCTCCGAGATCCCCAGGGGCTGTGGCTGCCAGGCCACCAGATGCCAGCCTGGAGGAGACCCAGCTCTGGAGATGGTGCCTCCTCTGAGGAAAAGCCTTCCAGTCAATTAATCCTGTGGTTTGCTCTTGCCCTGGGGCTTGGTCACTGGTGGAAGTGCAAGGAAGCCCCTGGGAAGATGGAGGCGCACAGATCTAAGGCCCCCTGTCCACTGAGTGCTTCTAGACCCCAGGGTGTAAGGGGGCCAATTATTTTGCTCACTTGCTTCCTTCAACATTATGTCAAGATCAAAGACTCGTCAGGTCTTTCCCTCTGCCCTCGGGGGCAGTAGAGACAGCATGGTGAATACTGGTGAACAGACCAGCGGGTGGGCAGCAGATCCTGGTACCTGGACACCAGTTGGCAACAGGACCCCCAGGCTTGATTCCGAGCTTGGTTTCAAATCTAGGTGCCCAGATACCATAGTGGGGTATAGATGAAGAGGCATGATTGATTTCTCCCAGGAAGCAGTAGCCCGGGATGGGAGGAACATCACCCAAAGCTTAACCACCTTTTATCACACTGGGCTAATAGGCAAATTTCCCAAGGCCAAGGTCAAGGTTGTCTGTGGCTTGAAAAATAGAGGTGGTCCTCGCCCTTTGTTCCAGGCCATGTGAGGTGTAAGTGGTGTCTCAGAAAGTCCTGCTCACTTGACACTCCCTGTTTGTGACAGTCTATATAGCATGGAGTTGATTCTGAGGAATGACGGCTGGAGAGATGGGAAGATGAGTGGATGGATGAGTTGATCTGTGCGGCCATAAAAGCACTAATGAGACACAGTTCTTGGTGTTCTGAAGCCCACGGTCCAGAGGGGCAGATAAATCAACAGAGGAACGACTGTGTAGGCAGCCCTCAGATGACAAACGGGAGAAGACTTGCTATCTGAGAGAACTCGAGAGAGGAGGCTGGTCTTCGGGCTTTGAAGGATGGGTCTAGTGTTTCGTTTTGGATGATGGATAAAACCAGAGAGGGAAGGACAGCTTGAGTTGAGAAATCAGCCTGCTGTTTTTTCAAGTCTGCACTGTCCTCCACAGACTGTGTTTGAACACGTGAGTCCCTGGCCAGTGGTGCTCTATTGGGAATTTGTGGAGCCTTTGGGACATGGTACCTAGATGGCACCCATAGGCCACTGGGGGCAAGCCTTGAAAGTTGTATGTGCTTCATTTCTGGTTCATTTTCTCTGCTTCTTAGGTCACCAAAACCCAAGGACCAGCAACGCTAACCACCATGCCTCCCCTACCATGATGGACTGCGCCCTCGGAAACCATTCGCTAAGACAAATCCCTCCCCTAATTTGTTCATGTCCGATCAACGAGAAGAGTAACTAACTGACATCCTCCTTAAGCGTGTGAACACGGAAGTGACCTGGAAGATGGGACAGACTGGACCACCTGTTAGAGCCAATCACCAGATGCATGTCTGAAAGAAACTCAAGAGAAGGGCAGACCTGCAAGGGGGAAGCCAGGCTCTGGTGTCAGGAACTCCATCAGGTTGTGGAGAGCCAAAGCCATCAGCAGGCTGAACCTTGAGTTCACAGATCCCAGGCAAAGCCTTTCCCTTTTCCAGAGACACAGTTGCCATCCCAGGAGGGTTATGGGAGCTAGCGGGCTGAGCTGCCTCTCAGGTCAAGAGGGGATGAGGGTTAGGCTGGGCTTTGGTTCCCTGTCATGCCAAAGGTCAACAAGGAAGCGGCTGGATTCCATTGTCAGTGGCTTCCCTCAGAGCATGTGCACTTGGGATCTGGGGTCCCAAATGCCTCTCTTCTATAAACAGTAATTTTTGTTTGAGGTTACAAAAGGACCAAACGCTTATTTTATTTGAATTCTGTGTGTGAATGTGTGTGTGTGTGTGTGTGTGTGCGTGCTTGGGTGGGTATATGTATGTGTGTGTGTAGAGAGGCCACAGGACAACCTCAGTGGGGCAGGCTTCTCACCAGGGTTTCTACATGAATTAGTTTACGTCGGTGCCCATTTCCCAGGACCGTCTCTCCTGAAGTGCAGTGAGGCTGGGAGGCCACCCGCTTGGAGGGTAAAGGCCCGCTGCCCTGCTTATGGAGGCATGTTTCCTGGTCTGACTCTTGGCAGTCACGAGACTAAGAAAATGGAGATGTCCAGTTGACAGGCAGCTCAGGCATCCGACGCGACTGTGCCGCCGGGCCAGCCAGACTTCCGCCCAATGTCATTACCAATTAGCTACGTGACTTTGAGGAGCCAGCCATTCAATTTCCCAGTGTCTCAGTCTCTGTACCTCTAAGTAGTGATGGCAATGTACAGCTGGGGTTTCTCACAGGGCTGCTATGGAGTTGTAATTGGGAAACAGAGCCCTGAAAACCCCACAGTGCCGCCCAAGTGTAAGGGTCATTACTGAGCTGAGCTCTCCGCTGAGGCTTCATGAAAGGCTAGTGGCGGCGGGGGGGGGGGGGTGGGGAGTGTGTGGTGGTGTCTGTGGCTGCCAGTGCTCTTCGATTGTGACAGGCCCAGGAAGTGTCTGTGCCGGGTCAAGCTCACGAGGCTAATGGCTGTGCTTAGGGCTCAGAGGTTATCCAGCTGTGACTGTGGCCTGTCCCGCTGGGCCTGTGCTCACCCCAGGCTTGTGGAGCAGGCAGTGTAGGATGTTTATTAATAGGCCTTGATGAGGGGCATTAACGTCTCCTAATGACACCATCTGAGCCTGGCCTCTTTTCTTCTCTTACTCCTTGATCCTTCTGCCCACGCCCATCCCCCACCCCACAGAGACACGCACTGTCACGTACACAGAGAGCAGAGGGGCGCAGTGAGGTCTGGAGGAGGCTCGTGCCGGAGGGCCACGGCAGGAGCCATGGTCTGAGGAAGAGACGGCTTGGCTGTTGGGGGAATGGTCGGGAGGTCTAGCCTCAGGGGTCGGAGGGAGGGTCCCAGTGGGCAACAAGGCAGAAGTTGTGGGAACTTGGCCAGAAATGGCTTTGTGACTAAAGGGAGGCAGGACACGGCCAGACCTTTTCAGAACCGGCGGAGACGGGAATGGCTGGGGGAGTGTACACTCGGCAGAGGGCTGGCTTCCTTGAAGGGCGCAGCAGCTGGGTGGGGGGAGCTGAGAAGGGTAAGTGGCAGGGGAGAGACAGTCACAGGCAGGGAGAATGGTGACTGATCACGCACACACACACACACACGCACGCACGCACGCACGCACGCATGCAATATGCTCCAATTCTCACACCAAACATATATCTATGCTCACACATACACACTCGTATGTGTATGTAGTCACAATGTGTTCTCATACTCAATACACTCATACACCTGCACTTATGCATACCCATAGTCCACATATAATGTACACACATACAGTGTACCCTCACACTTATCCACATGTGCTCACACACACTCATACCTCCATTTCATATATGTACTTGCTTTCATGCACACACACACACACACACACACACACACGCTCACCCAAAAGGCCCATTTACAATTTCCCAACACATTTAACAGACATACAACACTCATATGTACTTACATGTTTTCACTGATTACACACTCTCTCCCTCAAATGGACACACACACACACACACACACACACACACACACATGCATATGTATGATCACACTTATCTGCCGATGCTTACCCACCACACACTCACAAATGTAATATACAGAAACACGTACACTCAATATACTCATGACATATATATCACCCAGGAGCTCACACATACACATTTACAGACTTAAACACAGCAAACACAATGTCCCCACATGTACAATATGTTCATACATTCACACAGGCTCACACACAACCAGGACACATAGTCTCTCATACACTTGCCTCTATACATGAAGCAGCACATATATATGTGCACACATGTACACTCACACATACACACATGCTCACATACACTAGCATGCTCACACTCAGAGCCCTATGCTTCTTACATTCTCACTAATACACAGATGTGTGGCCCCTCACTCACATGCTCTCCTCTCCCAAGCAGCCCCTCACTGGCGGTATTGCCAGAGTGTAAGCGTGGTAATGCGAGGGGCGGGGCAGGTGTCTAGGCTGCAGCTCGGACCGTGGGACTAAGACAAGTGGCAGGGAGTGTGGACAGACCGATAACTGACTGATGGAGAGTCTGTGGGTCGGCCCAGAGCTGGCCTGTTGCCCAGGGAGGGTCTAAGGGCTGGTAAGCCTCGGCTGGGCGGTGCAGAGAGTATGGGGGGGGGCAGCCTTCTGGGAGGTGGGCCCATAAATCTAGTCCTCCTGGGCCTTCCTCCCTGGCTGCGGGTATATAGGCTCCAGCAGTAATTAAGGCAGGAGAGCAGTTAATCCCTAAAACAAACAGGCCTTGAGAAACTGCAGCCCAGCTGGAGCAGGGAGCTTCAGGACTCCCTCTTCAGCCCTGGCTCTTATCACGCCTCATCTCTCACCTGTAGAACCCTGTCTTTCTGGCTGCTGACTGTACCCCACACCTGACGTCCCCCTCCCTGCCATGAATTGTGTGGAGAGGTGAGCTAAGGAGGACCCATATGCTGGGAGGAGGTGACCCTACCAGACTTCTGCTTCCTAATTCACGGCAGACCCCCAAGGAGTGGTGGTACCTGGCCAGGTTGATGTCTAGAATGTCCCGCCCTAACGTGGGAGGCTCCTGAGGTGGTTGGGATTGCTTTCCGGGAGCTACCTGCACCTGCAGAGCATCTGGGCATCGAGGAGATGAGGGGCATTTTTGAAGTTTGGGTCACACAGGCTGGGCTAGGGTGTAGGGCTGGGTGAGAAACCTTACCAGCAAGAGCCTTCTACTGTGGCTTCAGGGATAGGGATGGGGGAGCCAGAGCAGGAGCAGCCGGACTCTTGGGTCCCTGTCTCTGCCTTGTCTCCCTTCTTCGCCCCATTGGATGAGTCCATCCTAGCATATATTTCCTATGGCTGTAGAGAACAAATGGGTGAAGGTAGGGGCCCATGGGATGCTTCTCAGACAAATAAAGGATCAGAAGCAAGAGGACCTGCAGGGCCGGGTCCTGCTTTGCCACTCTGGTGGGAAGAAGAATGGTAATCCAGGCTTTTGAGCCTCCCATCCATGTAGCCAGGCTGGGGCTGCTGTGAGCAGGGAAAAAGGAAGGAGGGAGGGAGGGAGGGAGGGAAGGAAGGAGGGAGGGAAGAAGGGAGGGAAGAAGGGAGAGAGGGAAGGAGGGGTAGGGGAGAAAGGAAGGAGGGGTAGGGGAAGAAGGAAGGAAGAAGGGAGGAAGGAAGGAAGGAAGGAAGAAGGGAGGAAGGAAGAAGGAAGGAAGAAGGGAGGAAGGAAGAAGGAAGGAAGAAGGGAGGAAGGAGGGAAGGAAGGAAGAAAGGAAGGAAAGAAGGAGTGGCTTGAGGAAGAAAGATCAGGAACTTTTTGAAAGAGAAGATGCGGGCAAGGGTTGGAGGCTCTGGGAAACAGATCTTTGTGAGAAAGTGTGACCATAGTCCAAGTCCCGTTCAAGTCCCACCTCACTCTTCCTAAAGACTGACAGTGAGCCTGGCTTCTGTGTACTGGCCACTAGTCAGCCCCCTGTTATTGAAAACGCAGCTGCTCCAGAGCAGTAGCTGGGCCCATGCAGTCTCCAGCAGCCTGCCCGGGATGGGATGGGAGTGCTTTAGAAAATGCAGCATCTGGGGTTCCATTCTCGGCCTAGTGAATCCCAGCATTTATTTTAATAATAAATGAAACCCCAGGGAAAGCTGGTCCCAGTGATGCAGGCTTGGAATCGCAGCTGAGGTAGGTGGATCACAAGTTGAAGATTAGACTGAGCTACAGAGTGAGTTCGAGGCCAGGTTGGGCAACTTAGCAGGGGACTTGTTTCAAAAGTTTTTAAACGTGGAAAAAGTGGGGGGTGGGGTGGCTGGGGGTGCAGCTCAGTGGTAGGACGCTTGCCTGGCATAGGCAAGACCTTCGGCCCAATTTCCAGTGTGGTCAAAGGAACGAAACAATCCCCCATCCCTCAACAACCCAAGGTGATCTCATATATATGCTTAACCTGGATACTATCTGCCACGGGGTGCTGGCTCCCTAAGCATCTCTGGGTCCAGGAAGGGGACCGGATTCTCCAGCAGACATACGGCGGCCGCAAAGGGAACCCTCTGTGTTCTGGTCCTGGGTGGACTCCACTTTCCCGTCTTTTCCAGGCTCTGGCTCCTGGGCAGCCTTTCCTTGATAGGCCCGGGCTGACCTTCAGGTCCTAAGGTGCTTACTTTCAAATTAAGGTGGTTGAGACAGGGTGGGACAGCCAGAAGAGGGTCACACAGGGACACGGGGCTTTGAGTCCTTGAAGTCTTGGGGGTGAGACGGTCACCCCATTTGATAGGCACTTGAGGGTACCTGTGGGCTTTTGGTACCCCCCGATAATCCTTCCTCAGACAGCATGCCCTCTGGAACTCTGTGTGACGTGGGGTAGGTAGGGACCTCAGAGACCAATGGCGGAGGGACGGCACAGCCATGTGGGGACTTATAGACTGGGGGATGGCATGGGAAGGCACCTGGTCCCAAGGGCCATGACCCTCTCTGTGGGCTCCGCTGGCAGAAGGAGGATTGTAGCCAAGCCCCTTCCTCATCTACCTCTCCCTCCTCCCGGATGTCCGAGGTGCCGTCCACGACCAGACACCATCGACTGCCCTTCCATTCATTCCTTAGCGGGCTGTGCTGGGACCTGTGTGGTGGGCCTTCATGTCTCTGCCTGCCTTCGACAAACCAGAGCTGTTTGTTAGGCCCAGGGAATTATGAATGGGGCCCCCCAGAGCCCAGCCAGGGGCTGGGGCCATGCAGTCTCCAGTCAGGCCCAGGGCTTGCTCTCCTT